AGTCCTTCTGACCTCTCCTCTGTTACTCAAACACCCCAAATTTGCTCCCAACCCATGGTCTCTGTACTTGCTGTTCCCTCTATCAGATATATGCTTCCCCTAGATTATCAAATGGTTGGCAGAGTTCATTTTCTGTAGAAACATGATCTGATTTACATTAAAAAAAAATTATTCTGACTCTCCTGTGGAAAAAACACAGTAAAGAGGCAATAGAGGAAACAGGAAGACCAAATTCAGGGCTATTTCACTGGTCCCTATGAGGTATAAGGAAGCCTTGGACCAGGGCCACAGTGATTGAATTCAGAATATATTTTGAAGCTGTTGCCCAGAGGACTTAATGCATGTGAGGGGAAAAGAGGAGACTTCTTTGATTACAAAGTCTTTGACCTGAGCAATTCTTTGAGTGAATGAATTCATTACTGAGCGAATGAATGAATGGGGAGTTAAGATCAGATAAGATCAGATTTACATTTCAGAAAGCTCACTCTGGCAGTTTAATAAAAGATGGATTGAGCTTGAGGACTAAAGGCCAAGAGAGAAGTTGGAAGGCTACTGAGACAGTCTAGGGGAAAGATGCTGAGGCTCTGAGCTCTTGTGGGAAGTATGGAAAGGAAGGGATAGAGGTGGAAAATATTCAAGATATCAAATTATTAAAATGTCGTGACGTGATTATTGTGAGGGATGAGAAACAGAATGGCTTCCAGATGCCTGGTTGAGGAGTAGCTCCACCCATACTGATGAAGAACATGGAAGAAAAAAGGTGTGAAGGAGGAAAAAAAGAGGATAGAAGTTGTGATGTCTAATTTTATGTGTCAACTGAAGGGATGCCCAGATAGCTGGTAAAACATTACTTCTGGATATTTCAGAAGAGATTAGCATTTGAATCTATAGATGGAGTAAAGATTGCCCTCACCAATGTGGGTGGGCATCAATCCAATATGCCAAGGGCCTGAATGGAAGAAAAAGGTGGAGGAAAGCTGAGTTTGCTCTCCATTTGAGCTGGGACATCCATCTTTTCCTGCCCTCACACATCGCTGCTCCTGGTTCTTGGGCTTTTGGACCCAGACTCCTTATACCATTGACTCACCTGGTTCTCAGGCCTTCAGGTTTGGTCTAAAGCTACTCCACCAGCTTTCCTGGTTTTCCAGCTTATAGGCAGCAGATCATGGGACTTTTCAGCTTCTATAACTCCATGAGCCAATCTTTTATGTCTTTATCTATCTATCTACCTAACTGTATAGACATAGATAGGTATATATAAGCACACACACACATATATATATGTTCTGTTTTCTCTGGAGTCCCCTGATACAGATATTGAGTTCACTGTTAAATGTTGCAGTGGAGGGCGCCTGGGTGGCTCAGTTGGTTAAGCGACTGCCTTCGGCTCAGGTCATGATCCTGGAGTCCCAGGATCGAGTCCCGCATCAGGCTCCCTGCTCAGCAGGGAGTCTGCTTCTCCCTCTGACCCTCTCCCTGTCATGCTCTCTGTCTCTCATTCTCTCTCTCAAATAAATAAATAAAATCTTTTTTAAAAATAAATAAATAAATAAAATAAATGTTGCGGTGGACATGAAGGTATGCCACCCAGATCCTGCTTCAAGGTAGAACTTTTTGCCCCAGCAACCGGGAGTGCTATCAGCAGACAGCCTCCAGATGTCAGTCTCTTCAGGGTTTGCCTCAGCTGCAGAGAACCACTTCACTCAAGGTCATGCCCTTCCTAGAGAGCTCATGTCCAATACTTGATGCCATGGGGGTATAAAGGCCCAGCTAGTCCACCCCATGATGAGATAATTCTAACAGATCATATACACTCTGGAGCCCCCTAGAGAGTTGGCTGAGGATTTATCAGGCATGCACCAGAGTTGGACTGCTTTCTCTGCCTAATCCTCCTACCTCCCCTGCCTTCCACAGGTGTTGACCCCTACTAAACATCCTGCATGGCAATCTCTGCCTCAGCATCTGCTTTCCGAGAACCCAACCTGTGATAGTTGGCACCAGGAATGGACCAAAAGAGCATGATGTAAGGTGGAATTTGGGAGCTGGATCACTCATCATCTGGCTGGCAAGAAGGACTCCATCACTTGTGGAATACAGATGGACCTTGGTAGCAGGTGGTGATCTAGTTGTGAACATGCTCCTTTGTGGTCCATTAGAATGGTGTATTAGAGGAGAGGATTGTGCTAGTTGGTATAAAGCATCAGGCATTTGAGAAGTATGGGGTAATTACTAATTATAAGGAAAATAGAATTGGATACTTGTTGATAAGTGCCACTGATAACTTAGAAAAAGATAATGAAGAGCAATGAGAGATCACAGGCATTTGAAAACCAAGTGTGAAAGCTGAAGGGGCTCCTTGGTAGCTTCTAACAATGCTCCCATGTGCTGCAGCAGGAGGGCAGAGAAAGTTAAGGCTGAGACCCAAGAGTTAAGTCAAAGTGGCTGAACTCTAGAAAAGTTTAAATGACCAACCAAGCCACATCTGTTACACAGGGACAAGGCTCTGTTGGGGGCCGGGGGGAGGCAGGAAAGAGAGAGAGCCGACACAGGATTATCCAGCTGAATGTCCCTTCAAGTTTTGAACTCTTAGACTCCTCTGAACTCTCTCAGCCTACAGAAATGTCCCACCCTCCTTAGTAAGGCTGAGAATCCCCCTTGCTTAAAGACAATGCAGAGATCTCTGCCCTGAAAGACAGCATGTGACCCTCGCAGTATCTTTGCCCACATCCTTCCCACCCTTGACAGTAGGCTTTACCTAGAAGTAGGTCACCATGTAATCCAGCTGGAGATATACTAGGTCTAAAAAGGGAGGAAAGGGACTGTTCCCACTATTCCCCAAAGACATAACCAACATGTACCAGCGGGAACTGGAGAGTAAGTGTGGGCCAGATTCTGAGGGTGCATGATCAAGGGGGCTAGAACGTGAGATTAGGTAAGGATGAGTTTATTTATTTCAGAGCACTCTGTCAAAATGCAGGATTTAACATTCCAGCAAGAAATCCAAGAGATAATACAAACTTGCTTCTAGGACAGCTCCTAAAAATATTGGGGAAAGCACTGGACCACATTAAATGAAATCAAAATTTCAGAATTGCTGTGCCAGATGTTTGAGAAAGTGATTAGAAGGTTCACAGAAGTAGGCACGCTGGAATGGATTTAATAAGTAAGGCCCAAAGACTCACCAAATGATTGTGCTCCATGGGAACGCCAAGATACACCATTTACAAAGACCAGAAAGAATGTTGTGGTGAGGATGTCAGAAAGCTGCCAAACTAACCTCTCTAAAATATACATCTGACTTTATTACCTCTGTTTAAAAACTCTTCAGTGACTCCCCATTCTTCTGGGCATCATCAAATGTTCCAGAGCCTTGTACAGAAGGCCAGGGCTATTAGTAGGAGTAGGCCATTTCAGAAATAGACTCAGATAGCAATGAGTATAATAAACCCCCCCAGAATAGTAGAACTATAGGGACCAGGTAAAGGATGGAATCCTGGCCAAGATCCATTTTACCCTGGATCCATGGACTCACCCAGTGGTCATTTCCCCATTCCTGAATGTTCACTTGGGTTTGATATACTTGGTGCAACTCCCATATTGGGTCCTTGATCTGTAGGATAAAAGCTACCATAGTGGGTAAAGTCAAGTGGAGGTCTCTGAAATTGCCCTACCTCCAGCACAGCCCAAAGAGTAAATCAGAAACAGTATCACATTCCAGAAAGATAGCGCAAATTAGTTGAGTAATCTATTGATATCACCTGGGAAACATCTGGTCTCTGAAGGGGCTAACCTGGAGAATTCAATGAAGATATGGTGGGACCTTCATGAAGAGGCTACCATGATGCCAACGGAGGAGTGACAGCAAGAGAGGTAGAAAGAGAACCAGCAAAGAGTGGTGCCACGAAACTTAAGGGATTAAAGCATGAATACTAGCAGAGTACGATAGGAAGGTCTGAAAGTGTCCATTGTCCATTTGGTAAATGGCGTGCCACTAATGGCCTTAGAAATGGCAATTCTAGCCAAATCACCCACTCATTCCTTCACAAATATTCACTGCATATGTTATCTATACTGCTGGTAGGTGAGTGAAATAGATATGATCCCTTCACCCACAAAAGTGGGTAATCTAGTGGACAGTAGAGAAAACCAGGTTGTGTGGAATAAGTAATAGGAAAGGAAATGAAATCAGCTAGTTCTTATGACTCAAGGTTTGGAGATAATAGGAAAGAAGTATAAAAAAAAACCATGCGCACAATTAGAGCCAAAAGCCCACACCAAGCCCCATATTCACATACTTATAAGGCCCAAAAAGTACCTCCTGACTAGTTTTTAGCTGGTTTTCATGTGAGAGGGGCCAGCTTACCTACCCTCAGCAGATGTGCCTCGAACAAGCATCATGATGTGAGAAGTCAATGCTTGAGCTGAGATCTGTAGGATTAGGCACTAAATAGGAGAGGGAAGTGGGGAGAAGGGGAGGGAAGGAAGGAAGAGGAGGGGAAGAGAGTAGGCTCAGAACTTGAGGAAGGGTGAGGCTGGCTGATGTTGGCACTTCTAAGGGGAAAGGGCACAGCTGGTTTGAGGAGTGCCAGATGAAGCTGAGGGCTGGGAACCGCAGCTGCACCTTGTTGCTGTTTTGCTGTAGGGACACTGACACTAGAAATAGAAAGTTCCTTCTTCTCCTTTCCATCTCCCAATCCCCCTCCAGTTCTTCCCTTTGGCAGTCCATCAGCTAATATGAAGCCAATTGGCAAGAGCTTCTGAGAAATACAGTTTGCAGACCCTGAGCCCAGCATCACAGAGCAGAACGTAGAGGAGCTGTTTTGGACCTGACAGACAAGAGGTAAATAAACACCACAACCATATCTGAGGAAATGGATGACTGGAGGGGCTTCGTCTGGGGCTTAAACAAGGAGACAGGTGTACCGTGGCTGGAGGGCCAGCAAGTATATGTGCTCGTACCTCACAGGGAGCCAGCAGGTGGGGGGTAGGACCAGGCATACCTTCTCCTTTGTTGGCTGCTATTGGCAGATGCAGAGATGCCACAGAGCTGGACGAGAGTGAGAAAGAGCACTGGGGACGGTGCTGAGCACATCTGGCAAGTGTCCCTTGGGGGTCCTGGAACCTACATTCTTTACTCAGAGGAGTTCAGGCGGTCCACCACAGTCTCTTCCTCATTGTTAAGATTTTCCTAGGTGGAAAAGCATTAGAAGGGCTTTCTAAGAGAGCCAGACCATATGAACAAAATTTAGAGGAGGATAAATTGCAAAGCATGTTTGGAAGGTAGTCAGAGCATCTCCTCCTTTTTACTTTTTCTTTCCTTTACAAGATGGGAAGGAGATAAAAAAAAAAAAGTTTTAAAATCAATTGTTTTCTTATGTGGCAGAGGCAGCTAATGAAAAAATACAATGAGAAAATAACCCATTCTCAATATCAGTAGTAATAAATACCTAGGAATAACCTTAACAAGAAATGTGTGTAACTTACACATAAATGAAAACTTTAAAAATTTAAAGGACCAAAAATAACACTGACTGGAATAACTGGAGAGACATAATCTATTGGAAGTTTAAATATCATTAATATATAAATTATTTTCCAACTTGTCTGGATGTTTAATAAAGTTACATACACACACACACACACACACACACAAAACCGAACCAGCCTAGTTTCTAGCCTGACGTATGCTTAAATATCCTGAAAATGAATCATTCTCATGCAATTTGTTGATAATAATTCTCATATAGTTTATTTTTTTAGGGATGCCTGGGTGGCTCAGTCGGTTAAGCATCTGCCTTCGGCTCAGGTCATGATCCCAGGGTCCTGGGATCCAGTCCCGAGTTGGGCTCCCTGCTCAGTGGAGAGCCTGCTTCTCCCTCTGCCTCTGTCCCCCATTCGTGCTTCCTCTCTCTCTCAAATAAATAAATAAAATCTTTTAAAAAATTATTTTTTTTTCTAGAGAGGGAGGGAGAGGGGAGAGGGAGAGGGAGAGAGAGAAACTTGAGCAGGTTCCACGCCCAGAGCTAAGCCCAATGCAGGGCCCCAGCTCACAATCCTGAGATCATGACTTGAGCCGAAATCAAGAGTTCAAGGCTTAACCGACTAAGCTGCACAGGTGCCTCTCATAATTTGATGAGAATATAAATTGGTAAAATTATTCTAGAAAACATGTGGCTATGTAAATCGAAGATTGTTTTAAATGTCCACAATATTTTGATCCAGAATTTTATTTTTACTTTTTATTTATTTTTGTAAGATTTTATTTTTAAGTTATCTCTACCCCCTATGTGGGGCTCACACTAACACAACCCTGAGATCAAGAGTCACATGCTCTACTGACTGAGGCACCCAGGCACCCCAGAATTTTATTTTTAAGAATTTATTTAAAGAGATAACCAGAGATGCTGATAAAATTTGCCTATGAGGATACTTGTAAAATGTTTATCACTTACAAAAACTAGAAACACCCTAAATACCTAACTACAAGAGAATGATGAAATAACTATATCTCAATTGATAGATATTTATATAGACAATTACAAAGCATAGTATCCATGAGTACTCAAAGATCGGGAGAAAGTTTAGGTTAAATGCTAAGTGAGAAGAGCAGAATTCAACATTTTATCTAATGAGATTCATGTGTGCATATGTGTGCACGTGTGTGTGTATATTTATACACACATATGCTTCTACATACATAGGAAAAAAAAGGAAATTCACCTAAAAGTTATCAATGGTTAATCCTGGATAATGAAATGATAAGTAATTTTTATTTTAATTTTTGTGTGTCTTAATTTTTACCATGAAAACACTATTTCATCAGAAAAAGAACAAGCATTACAAAAAGAGGGAAAGAGAGCCACTTGATTTTCTTTAATTCTTCTTTCAAAAATTCAATAAATCTTTAAGCGCGGGTATGTGCCAGGCACTTTGTCACAGTGTCATTTGAGGTTCAGACCACCTTGATCAGAGCTGAGTATCTACATGAGAGAGTGGCAGGAAATGGGGCTGGAAAGATGGGTCAGATCAGGTTGTTCCTGGCCTTGTAGGTCAGACAAGAGAGCTGGGATGCTATCTTGTACATGCTGAAGTGTCAAAGGTAATCATTATGAAGAAAAACTATAAATGTAGCAATTGCCTGCTGGAAAAAACTAAAGATAGCCTTTAATTCCATTCTGTAGAATGGAATGATTAAGCACCACTCCACTTTTCATATCACTAGGCTGCTATCCCTAAATTATGAAGACTAAGTCAATAAAGCATAATATTAAAATTCTCTCCTTCTGTACAAGGGCCACAGATATAGGAACAAGCTGTATCAAAGCTGTATCAGATATTAACAAAGGTCACAGGAACTGCTGACAGTAGGAAGGTAAATATGGTTAAAATTAGCGATGGACTCTTTACTGGGGTAGGCACAAAGGATCCTGAGAAGTCACCTTGTCCCTGTTTCTACTGCAGACAACAATGTTCTCTGCAGTCTCTCTCATGAATCCATCTAGCTTCTGGGGACACTTCAAGTTTGCATTATAAAGATGAGTTTCCAAACCAAATTTTGTGATCTACCGAAAACATCTGGTTCTTTCTCTTATGGATTTACAGCACCATCTGCCAAGTTACCAAAGCTGGAAAACGTGTGGTCATCTCAGACTTCTCCCTTTCTCTCACTGACAATATCCTATCAGTTGTCAAGTCCTATCAATAACGTCTCCTAAATCACATTACTTCAATTACGTCTTCGCCATTTCTCCCTCAGATTACTGTGTGAGGTCTCTGCCTCCAGTCCATGTGCCTTCCAATCTATTCTCCACCTGAGGCCACAAAACACAAACTTCATCATGTAACTTTCCGACTTTAACTACTTTAGATGCTTTGCAAGTCATGTAGATCCCTCATACTCTAGCCCCTTATATTTCTTTAGGCTTTTCTCATGAAAAATCCCCCAAAACATGCTGCACTGGAGCCTTTTCCAAATATTTGGGGTTCCTCAAATGGCCTTTATGCTGTCTCATCTCTCTGCTTCTGTTTGTGGTATGTCTAATGCCAAAAAATCTATTCTGCACCCCCCATTCACTGACAACCCCTATTTATTTGTCCATCAAGATTCAACCAAGGAACCATCACTCACAGTCCAAATCTGAGTTACAGGCCCCCACTCTGTGGTCGCATAGTGCTCTGGGCTTATCTGCACTATATTAGCTTTCATCTGACTATTTTGCTGCTGTTCGTATGTCCCTCTCCTACACCATACTCGGAGTTTCTTGAGGAAGGGGCTCAGTCTTTTGTTATAGACATCAGTTCTATTTGTGTGGTCGGGACCATTCTTTCCATTGTGGAAAAGCCACTCCTTCTTTCCATGTAGTTCTGCTGAGACTGGGCCTCACAGTGCTCTGCCTACCTGCCTCCAGCAGTCTCGGGCCTGTAACCCGGGCCTGGCAAACTCTGGTACCATAGCCTCTTGACAATGGTTGATGTAAACATAGGCGAGTGATTGAATACTCTTTCCATGATATTAATATATGAATCTTGGAAAAAGAAGATCCCTCTTTTTCTTTTGGATTGAACACTATAATGATAGAGGCCTTGGACCACCACAATTCCCCTTCCCCATCTCATGAAGAGAGCATGTCTATGAAGTTAAGCCAACCCTAGAGAGAGAGGCACCGTTAGAATATGGAAATAGAGCCCAAATAATTTAGCCCCTGGATCAGTATCTGAGAAACAAGTACATGCTGCCTTTCCCTGTTATATAAGCCAATAAATTCCCTTTTGTGCGTTAAGTCCTATGAATTACATTCTGATACTTGCAACCAAGAAGCCTGGCTCGGATATCTTTGGAATTTGTGTGCCCTCAGAATGGCAGTAACTGGAATGTAAGACCCAATAAAAAACATGTTACATAGATGAACAAATAGCTTAGCAAAATGTTTAGGAGTTCCCTCTGTATAAAGTGAATTCCTTCTACCCCCAAACCTGCTTAGTATCTGCTGTTCATCAACACCGTACCCAGTTCTCACATCCTGATACAGAGGCTACACTACCTGTGTCTACAGGCGCTTTCTCCTTAAACAATTATTTGCTAGTTAGCCAGTGCCTAGAATGTTCATTAACCTGTAAACACTTGTAAAGACTCTAGTTTGTATTCTTATTTTCCTATTTAAATTACTAAATGAACCTAAAGTTAAGAAAACTCTTACCAGAAGAGCCATCATGCCCAGTCCAATTCACCGAACAGATGGAGCTCTCCATCTGACATTGGACTTTGTAAAAGGAGCCTTGACTTAAGTGTGCTTGAGACTTGTGACTGTGGGGGAATGAGTCTAAGGAGTGATTTTCCTTCTTGCAGGTACTGATCGGGTAAGTCCTCAAGTGTGTAGCTACTGAGGACTCTGTCTTGAATGAAAGAAAGTAGAGCTTCTAAACCATTAGTAGATTAATCCTCTTCCTTGGTTTTTGGAGAATAAAAGGCAGGGGTTTTTTTTCTTTTAATAAGCACATTTCATTTGATTTTTGAAGCATTTTCTCCATACTGTATAAGGTAAATGTCCTATTCAAATTTATTTCTCCCTTCTTAAACACAGCAAATCTAATCCTCTTTCAACATACACGTGAAAGTCATAGCATTTTATATACTAAAAGCAATTCAAGGTTCTTTGCATCGGAAACAATCTCACTTGAATCCACTTAAGTCATATAAATATTTAGCAAGGTCAACAAGGATGCTTCTGAAATTCTTCCTTTCAATTATTTCTTAAGGTCAATAATCTAAAATCATGGTCAGTGTGATATATTTTTACAGCAAAAGATAAATACATAAAGAAAAATAAAAGCAAAAATTAGAACTGCCTTATCCATGTGCTCTTGAGGAGTGAGGAAAATCTGAAGGTATCCAATAATTTCTGCTTGAAAATTAGGTGTAATAGAAGAGCCAAAACCAGGCATGACCTATCCCCCCGCAGAGAAAGAGGAGGATTATCAAAAAATATAATGGCATGAGGTCTTGCACACAGTGATTTTTAAGCTTGGACAGAGTTCTTGTATTTACAAAGAAAAGCCAGGGATTGTGGGGATTTGGAATAGGGTGGAGAGAGTTAGATTGCTCCACATAGAGAGTAGGAAGAATTTGAGGAAGCCATTTTGTTTCTGAGGGGAAAGGGGCATAGAAGAGAGAAGGGAATATAGAGAGAT